ACTGGGAAAAGAGGGCTGGGATGTGCTGATAGGGACTGGGAAGCATGGGAGGGGGTACTGGAAAGTGTGGGGTGCTGGGAGTGGGTACTGGTGAGACTAAGGGGGACTGGAGAGCCAGTACTGGTGGGACTAAGGGGCACTGGGAATACTGGTGGCACTAGGAAGCAGTGGGAGCAATGGAGAGACTAAGGGGCACTGGAAGGCAGTACTGATGGTACTGGGGTGCTGATAGGGACTGGGAAGCATGGGAGGGGGTACTGGAAAGTGTGGGGTGCTGGGAGTGGGTACTGGTGAGACTAAGGGGGACTGGAGAGCCAGTACTGGTGGGACTAAGGGGCACTGGGAATACTGGTGGCACTAGGAAGCAGTGGGAGCAATGGAGAGACTAAGGGGCACTGGAAGGCAGTACTGATGGTACTGGGAGTACTGGTGGGACTAAGAGGCACAGTCAGTAGTGGAAACTGAGAGATACTGGGAGGCAGTAAGGGGACAGTGGAAGTCACTGGTGTGCACTGGGAGGCAGTGCTGGAGGATGCTGGGGGCACTGGGAGGGCAGGGACAGGTAAGTGACCTGTAGAGTTCTGGTGTCCCCGCAGCCTGAGCGAGCTGAACCGGCCTCATACCGGGGCTCTGACCTGAAAAGTGGGGTCACACCCCGGAGGGGACACTGAGAGTCCTAGGAGTTACTGGGTGCACTGGGAGGTACTGGGGGCACTGGGTGGCTGAGCTTTGGGGGTATCTGGTTAAAGCCAAGTAACCACAGCTGCCCTCAGAGCCACGGTTCACCCTTGACCCAACCACACCCTGATTTTGGACAAAAAAGGGGTGTTGGGGAGAGGCTGAAGGGCAGCACTCGCAGGGCTGGCATTCTGGGTGCCAGGAGCCGCAATTCCTGGTGCCAGGAGCTCGGGAGCATCCCTGAATTCAGCGATGTGCCGTGATCGTCAATCTGCCTTCGCTGGGTTGGGAGAACGAGCTCCTGTGTCCTGCTGGTCACGTCAAAACCCCATTTGCCACTGCTGTCGGTCATCATGAAGCGTTTAACGTGCACCTTTTTTTGTTGCTTTATATTTTTTTAATTGGTTTATTAGTAAAGTAATTAAAAGTTGGGGCTTGGGACCTCTGGAGAAAGGGTTCTTCTGATGGTAAGCCTAAGGACAAGAGGTTAAAAAGCAGTCTGTACTTTTTTTTTTTTTTTTAATTAATGAAATCTCTCCAGGACAGCGCAAATGCTTCGCTTGCTGACTTGCTGTTCCTTTTAGGAAGGACACGACTGACTGGTCAGAATCATCTAACGGATCTTTGCAAATGGATGCTCTCTCCTTGGAGTCTGCAAGCAAGGAAGCTTATTTCAGCAGAGTAGAAACATTCACCATATCCTTTTTGTGACGCCGAGCTTCCAGCTGTCCCCGCCCTCCCCGCCTCTCCCTGTGGCTTTCCCACACGCTCCATCTTCTCAGCGGCTTTTCTTCTTCGGCCAAATAAAACGTGGGCAAAACTTCCACTTTTTTAACCTGTAATTTATTGGGGTTTTTATCCTTAACGCCAGCACCCGTTGAAGTGGGCAGGCAAACCCCACGAGCTGTCTCCCCTGGTTTGTGCCAAGTACGGCTGGACCAATGTGGAGTGTGACCTGCTGAAGTGCTCCAGCTGCCAGGCTTTCCTCTGCATGAGCCTGCAGCTCGCGTTCGACTTCAACAAATGTACGTATGCCGGCGTCCTGCAGGTACTGGGGGGTGGGCTTGGGGGTGTGTGTGGCTTTTTGGGGGCGAAATAGCTCCCGTAGTCTTGTCCTGGATGGTGCTGGGTTTTGAAAATAAAGCGCAAGTTGAATAAATTTCCTTTAGTTTGTGAGAACGTGATGAAATTTCTTGCTCCTGTTGTCAGAGATGGCTCAGGATAAAATAATTCCCGTTGGAAGGGAGCTACACCGATCATCCAGTCCAACTGCCTGTCTGCTTCGGGGCTGACCAAGAGTTAAAGTTTGTTGCTAAGGGCATTTTCCAAATTCCTCTTTAATACTGACGGCCTTGAGGCATCAATCACTTCTCCAGGAAGCCTGTTCCAGGGTTTGACCACCCTCTTGGTAAAAAAAAATATTTCCTAGTGTCAAGTCTGAAGTTCCCCTGATGCAGCTTGGAGCCGTTCCCACGTGTCCTGTCGCTAGATCCCCAAGAGATCCTCAGCCACTCCTCCCAGGACACGTCCTCCAGCCCTTGCACCAGCTTTGGTGCCCTCCTCTGGGTGCATTCAAGTACCTGAACATCCTTTTTTTAAATTTTATTTCCCAACTGCTCAATCTGCTGCCCTAATCCTCCCCTAAATTTTTCTATTCTCAATTTTTCTATTGTTTTTCAACCAGCTGAAAACCCAAGTCAGTCCATTCAGGTGATCACGTTGTGTAATTTAATTAATAAACTCCTCCGCTTTGCTCTTTAAACTGCTTGGGTTCCCTGCATCTCTTCTCTGCAGAAGGACATTTATTACCCCACCACAAACAAGCATCATCTCCTCAATTTTCTTGACTGCGAGTCCCCGCTCTTGTTATCTGTAAGGCAGCGGAGAGCGCAGCCCTGACATCTGACAAACGGGTTGTGTGTGCTGGGGAGCTGCGTGAGTTTCCTTTGGGGTCACTCTGGATGTTGACGTGGGCTGTTTGCTCAGGCTATCTTTTTTAAATAAACCTTGGCCTAATTATTCTGGTGGTCATCACACTGGTTTAGGAAAACCTGAAATAATCAGAGGCTGGAAGAAGGGCTTGAAAAATAAATTGAAAAAAAAATGAATGGGATCTGAAAGGTGTGAATAAGTTTAAGTTTAAATTTTTTTTTTGGAGAAGTTTGATTTCTAGGCTGTGATTTGGCTCCTACAGGCAGGCTGGAGAGGTCAGGCAAGTTAGCTAGAGTCTGGCAGCAGCCCAGGAGGTAAAACTGGCGAGAGCAGGCGGTCCCTGTGCCCGTGGTTGGTTTGAGCTGTGGTTCCACTGCACGGTGGCAGGCTCCCCTCCTCCGTGGTCGCTGCGCCTGGAAAAGGGGCCAGATTTTTGGCTTTGGGGAGGTAGAATTGCTCTGGTGACACTTGTTGTTGTGGAGATAACCCCTTGAGCCAGGCTGCCCTCGCTGCCGCAGGAACCGCCGCTCCGGGGGTGCCTGCGGGAAGGCTGGAGGTGCGGCAGCTCCTTTGGGTGGGGAGGAAGAGGAGGCTGAGCTCTGCAAGCTCCAGCCTCAGGTGGCATCCGTCACCGGAGTCGTGCTGAACAGGAGGATCAGGGAAACCCTCATAGTTTGGTGCCTTCACCTCCTGGTTTGCCTTTCTCAGCCGTTCCTCGAGGAGGTGGCTCTACAGGGGAGTAGTTTTGAGTTTTGCCTTGCAGATATGGAGCGCTGCGTGGAGCTGAAGAAGGCTTTGTGCACCGCTCACGAGAAATTCTGCTTCTGGCCGGACAACCCCTGCCCAGGTTGGTGTCTCAGAGCCTGGCTAGTGTACATGTTCGCCACTATTCCCCTTTCTTTTTTCCTTTTTGTCGCTGTTCTTGTACCTCTATTGTAAGAATTGTGGGTTCTCTTCAAGTTCTCAAAGCAGGCAGAGTCACCACAGTCCCCTTTTTCCCTCGTGGGGACAATGAAACACCCAGTGGCACAGCAACATCTCTGAGCAGCCTCAGCAAAAAAACAACTGAGCCAGGGCTGGAGCCTCAGCCTGGGCTGTACCCAGCCTCTCTGAATCTTTCAGTGCATCTAGGGTGGTTAAAATGCTTTTTGGGTTGTGACTGAGAGGGGACAGGGGAGGCTGGATGACACAGGATGCTCGAAGAGCGATAAATGTCATCTTCAAAGCTGCACTGTACAGGGAAGGATGCTTGCAAAGGAAAAATGTGCTCAGCTTTTCTTTTAAAAGCCAGGAGATGGTTATGGGGAGAACTTGTCTGGTCTCATCTCCTTGCTTGATCTGTGGGATAAGGAGGGGATGGGATGGCTGGCGGCACAGCTCAGACCCTCCCGTGTTTGCTTTCCCCAGATCGCTTTGCCATGTTGCTGGTGGATGAGCCCAGAGCCCTTCTCCAGGATTTCCTGGAGCGTTTTCAGAGCCTGTGTCAGCTGGAGCTGCAGCTGCCCTCCCTCAGGCCGGAGGATATGAAAAACATGGTGAGTTCCCATCTGCCCCTGAAATCGGGTGCGTTCAGTCCCCAGTGATGATTCCAGGCATCGCTTTTGGGAGCATGTAAAAGGAGTTTGGAAAGGTTCATCTGCTGTACAAACGCCTGACCAGCGCAGGCACAGCTGGCTCGTGTCACCATGGTGGAGAAAAAGCACAACATGAGCTGGCAGCGTGCGCTGGCAGCCC